AAAAAAAAAAAAAAAAAAAAAGAATTGGATAGTATTAGCTATAAAAAAGGAATGACACCGTGGTACCTGCTACAACATGAAAGAACCTTGCAAACATCATGCTAAATAAAATCAGCCAGACACAACAGGAGGTCACATATTATAGGATTCCATTTATATCAAATGTCCAAAAAAGTAAAAGACAGACTATAGACCAATAGTAGCCAGGGGCTAAGGGAGAGGAGAGGAAGTGAAAACCAACTGGAAACAGTATAGGGTTTATTCTTAGAAGGATAAAAATGTTCTGGAATTGGCCAGTGGTGATGACTGCACAAGGTCCCGAATATAGTAAGAAAGACCTGATTGTACTTTCCAAGGGTGAATTGTATGATATGCAGACACTCTATTAATAAAGGATGAAAAACAAAACCGAACTCACCTTCTCACTTGCAGACGCAATTCTGCACAGTCCTCTGTTAGCTGACTGCTGGCTTCCTCCAAGGATTCTAATGCCAGTTTAAGGTTGTGATTTTCCCCCTCCAGCTTCTGTTGGGTGAAACGTAGGTGTGCCACGTAGGTAATGAAATCAGACACATCGCTGGAGGGGGAAGAATAAATGAGGACAATCTTCAACAGCATGAATCCCTTCCAACCAAAATAAAAGATATGGTGAAGTTCAAGAAGGATTAAGTGTTCTTATGAGAATTTAGGAAACTTTCTACTCTACCCTCATCCTCAGCATAAAAGCAGTACCGATATACAACAAAGGTTTAGTCACACTTTTATTATACAGTAAGAACAAAGATGTTTCCAATACTGCCAGACAGTCAGCATTTGCCACTTGTGAAATCAATTTTCACAAGTTTTTTTTAATTCCTTCCCACCCACTCCCCTCTTAACATTTGTTTCCTCCCATGCTGAACCATTCCTGTTTCTCCCTGGGTAATAGAAGGTCCCCATCTGGCAAGACAAAGTCCTGAGTTCAATTCCTGATACCAAAAAAAAGAAGGTCCCCAAATAAGTGGATACGCTATTCATTCAGGCAAGGGATGGCAGCAGGCTTCAGTACAGCTTCACCTAGGACACAATTCCTGGAGCTTTAGCATCGTTGTAGAATTGTTTTAGAGTTTTAGAATTGTAGCCTGTAACTCACAAGCTGGCACACATCTTCCTGCACCTAACATCAGCTCAAAACCCCTGAGAAAGTCTGGACTGTGTGTTTTATGACGTGCCAGGCCTCTGCCTCCTCTTTCCTATCTTTTCTCAGTCTTCAGCACAGGCTGGGTAAGTGGTCCTTCTCCACTTTTCTGCTAGATAAAGTAAGAGGGAAACCGAATAGCTTCTCTGTAATATCCAAAGCTCACACACTGAACAGAAAACAGAATTTCCCACTTGTGTTTAAAATACTGTACTAAAGAACCTTAAGAGTAATCCCCAGATTATAACCTCACTTCAGAGGAACTTATTTTTATAGAGAACAGAGGAAGCCAATGAAGGAGAAGGGCTTTGTGAGTGAACAAGTGGTAATTTTCTTTATAAGAATTCATATTCTCAATGAAACTGGTTCCAATGTAGATAGCATAAAATAGTTAAAATTTTAAAGTTAATTGTGTTAGTACTACCAAAAATAAAAATATCAAGTTAAATGACTTTAAGCAAAAAGTGGATCTAACTGGGCATGGTGCACACCCCTGTAATCCCAGCACTTGGGAGGCTGAGGCAGGAGGATCACTGTGAGTTTGAGACCAGCCTGAGCTACAAAGTGAGCTCAAGGCCAGCTTGAACTGCATAGCGAGTCCCCATCTCAAAAAGACCAAAAAAAAAAAAAAAAAAAAAAAAAAGTGGATCTAGTCAAGTATTGTGTTACAAACCTGTAATGGCAGCACTCTGGGAGGCTGAGGTCAGAGGATCACGAGTTCGAGCCCAGCCTGAGTGACTTAGTGACTTAGCAAGACCCTGTCTCAGAACAATTTTTTTTTTTTTTTTTCTCCGGTACCAGGAACCAAACTCACGACCTTGCGCTTGCCAGGCAGGCACTTTGTCGCTGAGCTAAATCTCCAGCCCTCAGAACAATTTTAAAAGAGCTGGGGACATACCTCAGTGTGAAGGCCCTCTATTGCAATTAATCGTTAAAAAAAAGTAAATGAAAGAAAGAAAATAAATAAGGAAAGTAGAAGCACTTAGAAACGCTTTGCCAGCAAGAACACTTACAGGACTCCCTGAGATGTGTCTCCACCCAAAGCCTCAAGACTCCAGGCTGTAGAATCTGCTATGTCTGTGGTCATCGCTACTGGAACACACAAGAGAATGTCATGAAAAGTTTGTTTTCTCAAAACCACAAGAAAGTGGCACAGCAATCCTAAGGAAACGTGTACCTACGCGGCCCACCTGAGTGTATGCTGTCCTGGCTTTCAAAAACAGAATCTTCAGCGATTCCGGGGAACCTGCTCCTCACGCCTTCCCTGCAGCCAAAAACAAAACCAGTGAGCTTCTGGGCCATGCCAAAGCTCAGCGATTGTTTAAAGATGCGCTGTACCCTTTCTTCCAGCTACAGTCTTTCATTCAGAGTTCTAAAGCCATCTTTTCATTCAAGAACTGTTTGGAACCCCGTACTGTACTTAGGTTGGTAGAAAAAAGCAGAGGCATCACCTCCCTCACCCCTCGACTTCTCCTCAAATACGAAAAACCGTGCGAGCAGAGAGAGGCAGCTGGTGACACACAGCAGCCTGAGGTTAGGGAAGGAGGCTCTCGGTGGGTGAGGGCATCGACACAGCTTGGAGCAACCGCGGGGACGACTTCTTTTTTTGTTTTTCTTTGTTTTTTTCCTGTACCAGGAATTGAACTGACGACCTTGCGCTTGCCAGGCAGGCGCTGTGCCGCTGAGCTAAAGGCAGCAAGACGGTGGACCTTAAAAGCATGGGAAGGAAAAGTCCAGAATAAGCAGGACTTCAGGATACACTGACAATGCTGTCACTGGCTCTTTTTTTTTTTTTTTTTTCTGGTGTCAGGAGTCAAACTCAGGACCTTGCGCTCGCCAGGCAGGGGCTTGTGCCGCTGAGCTATATCCCCGGCCCGGTCACTGGTCCTTATCGTAGAGGACAAAGTGGGACCTAGACTAAATCCTAGACTTGGAACATTGTACTCTAAACCTGGGAACCCTCTACCCAACCCTCTGCAGTGCACTGACTCCAGCTCGACCCCCAAAATAAACGTTTAACCACTGCATTGCAAAGAATCCCCATAGTATAATTTAAGTTTTGTCACTGAATCTTTTGTAAGTTTGATTTTCATGAGTACATGTTTGCAGTACATAATGATTACATTTTTTATGGCGAGGTGGTACATATATGTAACACAACTTTTTTTTTTTTTGAGACAGGGTCTCGCTATGTAGTTCAGGCTGGCCTCAAACTCAAGGCAATCCTCCTGCTTCAGCCTCCCAAGTGCTGGGATTACAGGTGTGTGCCACCACTCCTGGTGTACATCTCTATTCTTTTATGTTCCCTTCCCCTCCTTTACCTGCTCCTCTGCCCATCTCCTGGTCCCCTTCCCATTTTCAAAAGATCTTTTGTTACTAAATCTTAAGCACCAAACCTTTAGCTCCTCTCTCAACCACAAAATTATTTAGATTTATACTTACATCTCACTGTTTTTCAATGTGAAATATCTGATAGAAGCTCAAGTGAAAATAGCATTCTAGTCCCCTGCATACACTCAGCACCATTTATGAATTTCTGCTCTTATATTTTGTATTGAGACCTCCCACACCTTTCCCTTTCCTTAAAATTTGTTATAAAAAAATAAGTTTTCTTTTGCCATCCTGTTTCTAAATTATTCATATTTTAGTATATGATTTATTATATAACCAAACTTAAAAATTTTAGAAATATTAGAAAATGCATGAGTGAACACAAAAATTAAAACTGCCACACAGAGATAATTATTATGGGCTATATTCTTCCAAATTGTTCCTATGCATATTTCTATTTTTTGAGAAAAATGGGATTATACAGTATAGGCAGATCTATAGTCAATTAGTTGAAATAAATGTATATGCATGTTTCTACTGTCAAAATTTAATCCAATAGTAATTTGGAATGACAATTTAGGATCCCATTGTATGGAAGTATATACTATAATTTATTTGCCCACTTCTCTACTTTTAAATATTTAGGATGCTTGTGTTTATCACTTTCATAAACAACCTCTTAATATATTCAGTATTAGAGCATATTATTTTTCTTCAAATTATATTACTAACTCAGAGAGACTACATATTTTTTAAGGGTCCCATATCTATTCTCAAATTGGTCTTTTTGATTTTTGTTCTTTTTTTTTTGTACCAGGAATTGAACTCAGGACCTTACGCTTGCCAGGCAGGTGCTTGTGCTGCTGAGCTATATCCCCAGCCCTGTTCTTTGTTTTTTGAGACAGGATCTCACTATGTAGCTCAAGCTGGCCTCAGACTCTCAGTGATCCCCCTGCCTGGGCCTCTTAAGTGCTGGGACTAAAGGTGCGCACCACTACATCCATCTTAAACTGGTCTTTTAAAAACTTGCACTTCTACCAGTAAGGTATGAAAGGCTAAATACCCCCATACCCCACAACACGGGATAAAATCATTCTTCATTAATCTTTGATAAACTGATTCTCAAAACTCTTTGCTTGCATTTCTTTGTTTACTTGTAAGGTTGTATCTTTTTGTATATTTACTTTGCTTTCATTATTACCTTGTGTATGGGAACGATCATATTTTTTAAGTCACTTATGAACCCTGAACCCTAATTAAAGTCTGGCAAGTCTTTGTAACTTTGGGCTGGAAGTTGTCTTTAAGCAAATCTTTTGTATGCATTGACTGATGGCTAGACGGGGAGATGAACAAGCGTATCAACCTGGCCGACCCTGAACGCCAATGCGCTTCTGCAGCACCTCCCAAGGCACCTGAAATCTGCGATGCCGGTGTCATCCTTCAGCTTTTGTACCTCTGCCATTGTCTTTTCCTCCTCCCTGCAGCCTTCCTAAGTGTTCCGGTTTAGATAGAGAACATCACTCCAAAGCCTCAGGCGCTTGCAGGCTGCTCTTCTGGGAGCTGCCCCCGGAACGTGAAGCACTATGCCCAGTGGATCCATCCACTTCTGCGTTGGTAGAAGTCAAATTGGCAGAGTTGTGCTTTTTAAAAAAAAGATACTGGCTCTACGATCCAAGTAACTTCCACAACCCCTTCAGCAGCCGTGTGTGCTTTCTGGGGTAGACGGTACAGCGGGTCACGGGGGGATGACTGGAAGTACATATCTCCCTCCCTGGCCCCTCCCTTCTCTGTCGGCTTCCGACCACCATGATGTAAGCAGCATTTCTCAATGATGCCCCTCCTGGTCACGCCTTGTCTCCTTTAAAAGGTGGGTGACAGGTATTGGGTCCCAGTGATGCGTACATGTTCAATGTCCAAATTATACTCTTTGCCTACTGCCACAGCCCTTCAAAGGAACTTTGCCCCGGGAGTGGTGGTACATGCCTCTAATCTCAGAAATATGGAAGGCTGAGGCAGGAGCACCTCAAGTTCAAACCCAACCAGGTAAATTTAGTGACTTAGCAAAGACTGTCTTAAAATTAAAAACATAAAAAAGGGTTGGGGATGTAGTTCAGTGCCAAGGCCCTAGGCAGCCCCCAGTACTACCAAAAAAGGGGAGGGGACTTCATATCTGAGTTTACATGCTTTGGAGATTTAATGATATCAATAAATCACTTGGCTGTCATGCCAACTCAATTCTTTCTGAAAATGACATGTGCTACCCCCAGTCAAAATAAATGAACATTTTCTAAATTAATGCATTAGGACAGTGGTCCTCAAAGGGTGCCCACCTCTTCTGCAACAGTGACAATATCACCTAGAAACTTCCTAGAATATAAACTACTGGCCTTATCACAGGCTATTAAATCCAAGGGAGGGCGGACAATAAGCTTAATTAACACTTTTTCAGGAGACTCTAAGGCTGCCCAAGAGCAAGAGGCACCAGGTTACAGCACCATCCAAAGGAACAGTGATTAGCACCAGCTCTGATGGCTCATTAAAACAGAAGCTTAAGAGCCAGGTGTGGTGCCGCACGCCTGTAATCCCAGCACTCGGGAGGCTGAGGCAGGAGGATCCTTGTGAGTTTGAGGCCAGCCTGGGCTACAAAGTGAGCTCAAGGCCAGCCTGAACTGCATAGTGAGACCCTGTCTCAAAAAGACAAAACAAAAAAGAGACATTCTACAAGGATTCTCTTACCAATTGGGTCTACAGGAAGCCATCCAGCCCCTCACAGCAGCGTAGAAAGTGTCCAGATCCACTTGGGGGTCTGTCTTTTCAGGGTCAAGCAAGGTCCACAGCTCCTCAAGGTCACTGTCTTTCAAATCTTGGCCACTTGTTTGTGTTACGTAATTTATTATTTTATCCCCTCCTACTGAGCCTTAGGAGGAAGAAAGGTAAATTAGGTTTGAAAGGTGGAAAAAGATGGCGTTTTTCATGAATGAAGTCCTGAACTCTTTCAGGTCCCTTGGGCCCTAGAAATATGTCATTTAATTCTTGCAGCCTGCTGAGCTCCCCTAGAGAAGTGGGAAAACCACCGGCCTCAGGTTACAGTCTCATCAGGGTCAACTCTCCACACCATTTCAATTACTGTCAGAAATTGCAGTGATTCAGATTAGGTTAGTAATCAACACAGCAATCTTTTTTGTTTGTTTGTTTTGTCTTTTTGAGACAGGGTCTCGCTATGCAGTTCAGGCTGGCCTTGAGCTCACTTCACAGCCCAAGCTGGTCTCGAATTTGCTGTGATCTTCCTGCCTCAGCCTCCCGAGTGCTGGGATTACAGGGGTGCACCACCATGCCCAATGACACAGCAATCTTCTTTAAGCATGAAATTGAAAGAAGGAATAAAAGGGCTGGCTGCTGGCATGACAGGGAAAAATAAGAAGATTGACAAGCTAGATGCAAGACTGAAGACTCTTCCCTCAAAGAAATATAGACTAGAACCCAAGGAAAAAACCAAGCCTGATAATTACAAGGAGACAAGAAAAAAAATTACAAGAAGATGTTAATTGTAAAGGAAAGAGAATAAGTTTATTAGGACCAATAATGTAAACTAATGCATCACTTAGATGTAATAAGAAGTGTTCAAAAGGGAACTATAAGTCATAATATAATTACTTAGATGATTTATTCCTCATTTGCAGAATGGAAAAACAAACCCTGGAAAACCACCAAGAATTCCTTTATGTCTTTTTCCTCCCCTAAAGCTCTAAATTCTCCATCATATCCCTCAAAACTGGAATATAATGGTCTCCTACAATGATTAATTTTGTCTAACAACTTGACTGGGCAGGATGCCCAGATATTTGGTCAACATTACTGGTGTTGGAGAGAGGGTGTTTCTTTTTTTGGACAACATTATATTCAATCTGGTAGGCTGAGGAAAAGAGATAGTTCTTCTTAAGGTGGGTGAGCCTCATCCAGTTCATTAAAGGCCTCACCGGCACTGAACAGCTGACCATCCCCAGAGGAAGAGAGAGGGCATCTTCCCTGCCTACCTCTGAACTAGGATGTTGTCTTTTTCTTTCTCTGCCTTTGTACTCAAAACGTTAGATCTTCCACACGCTCAAGCCTGCCAGCTTTCAGGCAGGAAATAAACCATCAGCTCTCTTGCTCTTTGGTCTTCAGAGCTGGACTTCAACTAAATCTCCCATCTCTCAAGTACCCAACCTGTGCACTTGGCACGCAGATCTTGGGTTTTGCCAGCCTCTATAACTGCATGACCCAGTGCCTGATAATAAATCGCACGTGTATATAATTTGTTATTTTCATCGGTGAAATAATTCCATAAACTCTGTCAAAGCACAGAGGCTTTCTGGGAATAGATAAGCCCCATGTACCCTACAAATATAAAATAAGAGTGCATGCAACTATTTGCAGCAATTATGTTCACGTGGCATCATTCATAACAGAGAAAAGGTAATATCCGATTGAGATGGATTAGTTTAATACACCCTGCTACATCCAAAAAAAGTGTACAAGAAAGTTTGTTCAGTAATTGGGAGGGCGAGATGGTTGGACGGAGGCGCCCGTAACTCAAAGCAGCAGGTATAAGCTCCACGTTGAGGGCGAGTGACTGGGGAAACAGGGAGACAGCGACTAGAACCTTGTAAGAGTCAGAGACCTGGGGCAAGAGAATAGAGAGAAAAACGGAGTATTACAGCATCTGCCCCGCTGGCTCCACAGCCAGCAGAAGGGGAGTCTGCCCTTTGCAGGGTAAGAGTGAAAAAGTTCCAGCAAACTCTGTCTGTCCTAGATACTGGAACATCTCATGCTCTTCATGAGCTTAACGCCCACTTAGATAAATAACCTGAAGTCCACACAGTACCCCAGATATGGAACAGAGCTCACATCATCTCCCAGCAAACCTCCAGGAAACGGCAGCCAGCTGTCTTGAAATGGGGCTACTGTCTGTATTTGGACTGCTTTACGCTCAGAAACCCCTGTATATTCCTATCTCCGGGACCCCGCAGACACATGACTGCACTGCCTCAGTAGGTAGCTGCCTTGTGAACCCAACTTGGCCAAGCAGAGTGATTCTAAACCAGTCCTACTGTGTGCCCTGCATTGCAGGGGCGGGGACTGAGGCATGGAGGAGGCAGGAAGTTGCTGCCCTAAGAACCTGGAGATCGGGAGTTTGCACTCTGGGACCAAGCGCATGGCCAGGCATGCGTCCCCTCAGGTCAGTGCCAAGGCCGTAGGCAGACACCCATATCATTCCTGCCACTCTGCCCTCCTGTGCCAGGATCAGCTGCCTGCTACTAACTGGGTGAGGAAGGAACGCTGTGGTCTTGCTCTGCTCTGCCCCTGGGGTTGTGCTGAGGGTGACTTGACCAACTCCACGGTTCCAAGTGCTCCGCCACCCCCGGTGTGCAAGGCCCGGGGAAGCCCAGAGAACTGTGCTCGGCTCCAGCTGAGGTCCAACTTACTGGTGGGCGGGGCCACCAACGCAACAGAGAGGAAACCCCACAGTTCCTGCTGCCATTCCCCCTAGACAGCTCTGATGGCTCCACGCTGGCTCCCCTTCTGACCAGTGCTGCTGTCAGGACTGGGTGTGAGCATCACAGAGCGGCTGCTGGATTCACACCATCATCCCGTCCGGGCAGCAGCTGGGCCCACACCACTGCCTGGTTGGAGAGCAAGAGCTTCAGGCCCCTCGGCACTGCTGGTGGAGCCAGTGCCGGAGACCTTGGAGGCCACGGTGCCAACATCGACAGTGCCTGAGGAAACCTTTGTCAGATAGGAGCCATGTCTCCCAGTATAGGAGTAGCTATGTGGAATTTACCTCACGCACTCTGCTGTCTACACCACACCTACCCAAACTGCTGAAGTGTCTCAAGTCTTGCATGACCCAGGAGACAGCGGGTCTCTCCAACTGTACCAGAGCAGGCACTGTGCCTGAAGTCATTAATGATGGCCAAAGAAATGATAGCAAAACACACCATTGTGCCCAACTGGAATCAAAACCAACACTGTATAGCAAGTCAACATCCCAAAGCACATTTTGAGGAAAAAGCTGCTCATTAAGAATGCCATCCTAGTCAGGCATGGTGGCGCATACCTGTAATCTGAAGGAGGCTGAAGCAGGAGGATCACTGTGAGTTCCAAGCCAGCCTAGATTACATAGTGAGTTGGAGGCCAGCCTGAACTACATGGCAAGACCCTATCTCAAAAAAAAAAAAAAAGAAAGAAAGAAAAAAGAGTGCCATTCTACAAAAGTAGTAGAAATATCTTTTCTACCTGCTGTGCAAATCTCAACACAGGAATCCAAGACTATGCAAAAACAAGGTAGTATCATGCCTCCAAATGAATATAACTCTCTAGCAATAGATTCCAAAAAAATAGATAAAAGGCTGCTAAAGAATGTTAAAGAATTATTTTTTAAAATGGTCAATGAAACCTAAGAGAATGAAGATAAACAGTTAAATGAAATTGAGAAAACAATGCAGGATATAAATGAGAAATCCAAAGAAATAAGAGATTTTAGGAAGATGCAAACAGAAACCTTGGAAATGAAAAGCTCAAAATGTCAATAAAAATATTCTGAAAAGCCTCAACAGCAAACTAGAACAAGCAGAAGAAAAAATATCTGAACTTGAATATGGGCCTTTAGAAATACATCATTTGCGGGGGCTGGGGATTTAGCTCAGTGGCACAGTGCCTGCCTGGCCAGCACAAGGTCGTGAGTTTGATTCCCAGTACCAGAAATAACAACAACAACAAAAAAGAAATACATCATTTGGGAAGGAGAAAAGGAAAAAGGTAAAACTAAAAGTAAACCAAGCATTCAATACTTCAGGATACCATTAAATGAACAAACATCCACATTTTCAGAATACCTGCAGGCAAGGAGAAAAAGTTAAGGGCATAGAAAATCTACTCAATGAAGTAACATTAGAAAAGTTCCCTAACTTCGTGAATGACATGGACATTCATGTACCAGGGGTTTAAAGGACCCCTAGTAGACAGGACTGGAAAAAATCTTCCTCTGAGGGTATTATATTCAAATTGTCAAAAGTATAATACAAGAAAGAACCTTTATAATACATTATCCAGAAACACAATCCTTCAGAAATGAAAGAGCTATAAAGATCTACCAATACAAGCAGAAACTGATGGAGTTCATGACCAAAAGACCAGATTTATAAAAGATGCTGAAGGAAGTCCCACAACCAGAAGTGAAAGATCATTACCATCATGAAAACAGAAATCCCTCCCAAAGAATGGATACACAAAACAGAAACAGAAAAGAATCAAATATTATTAGTAAACTACTAAATAGAAAGATACATAAATGATAAAGCAAAGAGAATATTCAAAAGAACTAGAAGAAAATCAACAAAATGATAAGAATAAGTCCTTCCTTATCAATAATAACTTCCAATGTAAATAGACTAAGGTTTTAATTAGAAGATATAGATTGTCTGAGTGGATTAAAGAAGAGAAAAATAAAACAAAAACAGGACCCCACAACATGCTGCCATTAAGAAACTTCTCAAGACTGAAAGGATGGAAAATGATATTCCAAGCAAATGGAATCATAAGCAAGCAGGAGTAATTAATACTCTGTCAAACAAAATAGACATTACAAAGAAACCTAAGAAGAACAAAGGTTTCTATATAATGGTCAAGGGATTGATTCAACAAAATATAATATGCACTCAATTTTACAGAACACTATCAGACCTCAACAGTGACATAGGCTCCAATATGATGGTAGGAGAGGATTTCAGCACCCACTATCATTGGACGGATAATCTAGACAAAAAAAAGTTAACAAAGAAATATCAGAACTAAATGGTACTATAGATCAAATGGATTTAACAGACATTTGCAAGAT